CTGTGGATTGTATGGGATTCCTGTTATATGAGTAATGCCAAATGATGAGCAAAATTGTTTAAAAGAGGTAGAAGTATAACCAGGGGCATTATCTGTTATTAACTGTTTTGGAACGCCCACAGTGGCAAGATTTTGTAAGCTGGCAGCTGGAAATTTGCTGGGGCCGCGATGAGCCAATCAGCTGGAAGTTTGCTGGGGCAGCTTTGGCTGTGGCTCTCAACACAAAGCCCTGTCTCAAAATAAAAATAAAAAAGGGTTAGGGATGTGGCTCATTAGTTAAGCACCCCTAAGTTTAATCTCTAGTACCAAAAAAAAAAAAGATCACAAGTTTGAGGCCAGCCTGAGCAACAACCCTGTCTCAAAACATGAAAGGTCTTGGAATCTAGCTCAGTGGTAGGGGATCCCTAGGTCCGTTCCCCAGTATCATAAAAATAGAAAAGAAAGAAAAAACACTGGGAAAAAGGAAATAACTGGTGCAGAAACAATTAGTAACTGCACTGTATTAAAACACATCAAATACATGAGTTCATAGTGGTGCTTCAAGAAAGAAACTTATTGGATTCATTTATCCTCCCTTTTCTTTATAAATAATACTACTACGTACAGTTTGGTATGAAGCAGTTGCTCATTAAGGGCCAAGTGCAATGGCACATGTGTAATACCAGTTACCTGGGAGGCTGAGGCAGAAGGATCGTGCAAGAACTTATCTCAAAAAATAAAAAGTGTGTTGCTCAGTGGTAGAGCACCCCTGGATCCAATCCCCAGTACAGCAAAAAAAAAAAAAAAAAAAAAAATGATTATGTTAGAGTACTGTGATTTTGCCATCCTTTGTGAATTAATGAATCTTGACAGTGTTCCATCGGTGTCTGCTCACATAATGGCTAGACATAATAGACCTTATAAAAAAAATTAGATACACCAACTTATAGGAAATAAAGGAGACATGGATGTATTAAAACCACACAGGTCAGAAGTAGGGAGATTTAGTCAGCAAAATTATACTGGGAATTTCTGCAGATCATTGATCTGTTTTCTTCAATAAATTTAAGGATGAAAAAGAGACTTGGGACATATTAAACCATGGTAATATTGATTTATTGGGCTCCTTATTCAGATAGACCATTTGTCTTAAAAATAATCAAAACAGACATGGCATTTGAACATTAATTTGGTATTTGATGTTGAAGAATTAGTATTAATTTTTATGGTATAGTGATATCATTGTGGTTATGTTTTTTTGACGAGTGTTTTTTAGGAATTGATTCCATGGTAGAGGTGACCTGCCTCCCTCTCTGAGGTTTATTTTGCAGGTGCAGAAATTTTCTGTGCAGTTCCCGGTCATTAAGGGCCAAGTGCAATGGCACATGTGTAATACCAGTTACCTGGTATTCAGTCTTTGTGACTGAAGCAACTGGTTATATTGCATATTCACTTGTATAGTATTAGAAATGAATCTGACTTTGGTACAGACCAACCTATAATTCTTGTGTTGTTGGATATCATTCCATACTGGGTGTCCGAATGGTGTCCTATTGGAACTGTAAGATTGTGTCCTTCCTCTCCTGAAAAATGTCATTGCAACAGATAAAAGATTACCTTCAAAGAGGCCAAGAAGGGAAAGCATGAGATGAAAAATGTACCAAATGTAAATGTGAAAATATTCAAAAGGTAGAGTGCTGCCTCTGAGAAATAGGACAAGAAATCAGTTAAGGTTATCATTCTAGAAAACCCAGGCAATACCAACTGCTTGAGCTGTTAAGATCATATCAACTCTATCAAAAGTTGACTCCTTCCATCCCCAAGGAGATTTGATTCTGGATCACAACCAAACTAAATCTCATATTGCTCTACAACTTCATGTGACTACTGATTGTGAAGAATGTCATTATCTGAAGAAACTGATCCTCAGTTCATTGTCCAGATGTCAGCCATGCCAAGGTGAAATTGTAAGGAAAGGTAGTTGTTGTTTATGAAGCTGGCTCAAGGGAGAATTCATCATGACCATGGTGCTTCTGCATCAAGGCTAAAAAGTCATCCAGTGTAATGTCTGCTGCAGAAGCCATCTCTAACCACATCAGAAACTTCTGGTTTGGAACCTAAAGGGAGTCTGTGTCTATGGGTGTTATCCATAATGGCATTAACTATGGTGTTACCATAATCTGCTCTGCTCATTCCCTGTGGTCATCAAGAATAAGACCTGGAAGTTTGTTGAAAGTTTCCTTATTAATTATTTCTCTCATGAGAAGATGAATCTTGCTGCAAAAGAATTAGCAAAAGAAAAAAAACTGCTTTTGAATTTCTTTGCCTGACGAGGCAGTCAATTTGATGTTACTGTATGCCCCCAAACTGAAGAATCTTTGTGTCATCTTTGACTCTAGGATCAAATAATAATACCAAACTTAAATTACTCATGAAAAACAATGCATTTTAAAGATTATATGCTTCCTGGTACAAGTTTGTGAGTGAAAGTCTTATTATGATGGTAGTGTGTTGCATTCTAAAATTTTTAAAAATACTCACATGGAGGGGGGRAGATGTTTTTAAAGCAGTGGTTCTCAACCTGGGCATAATTTTATTCCTCAGGGGATGTTTGACAATGTCTGGAGACACTTTTGGTTGTTGAAACTGGAAAATGCATTTAATGCCAAGGTTATTGCTGAACATTCTATTAGCAATAGCCTCCACAGCAAAGAAATCCAGCCTAAAATGCAGAAGTGTTAAGTTGTTAAACTTAATACACATAGAACTATCTTACCAGTGAAATAATACCATCTTTTAGTTTTCTTCAAAATAATTTGGAGTTTAGGGTAGATAGTGATAGATGAAATAAAATTAGCCATGAATTATTGAGTCTGGGTAGTGGGTATACCCTATTCATTGCACTATTTGTTTTTGTTTGTTTGTTTTAACTTTTGTATGTATTTAAATTCTTCTGTGTAAAATAAAATCTTTAAAATTAATGGACTAGGACATTTAAAGAAAGGTGAAAATAGTCTTTTCTCTACAGGCCCTCTTAAACTTGGCAGAGCGACTGGGAGAGGCTAAACCTCGAGGACTGACTAAAGCAGATATTGAACAACTTCCTTCTTATCGGTTTAATCCTAACAATCACCAGTCAGAACAGACTTTGTAAGTATATTTTTTTCTAATATATGTGTTAATTTTTTTGTTTAATTTAAAGGAAAATTTCATGAAATAAAAGSTTGAGACTCAGAACTTGATATAAAGATAAGTTATCTCTTTTTCATACTCTGGGTCTATGCTGACCAGTAAGGTAGCCACTGATTGTGGAGCTATTTAAATTCAGTGAAACTGTTAAATTTCTTCCTGGGTTTGTGGTGCACACACACCTGTAACCCAAGCTACTCAGGAGGCTGAGGCAGGAGGTTCACAAGTTCAAAGCCAGCCTTGGGCAAATTGTTTAGACCCTGTCTGAAAGTAAAATTTTAAAACGGRATGGGGATTTAAGCCTCAGTGATAGAGCACTTAACTAGCATATGTGAGGCCCTGGGCTAGACTAGAATACTGTCAAATAAATAGATCAATACATAGATAAATAATTAATTTCTTAGGCATACTAGATACTGACTGCTATATTTAAAGGTGTTAATGTAGAACATGAAGTGCAAAGTTCACCCATTTTTAAAATATACAATTCAATGAATTTTATTGTATTAATAGAATTGTACATCTATCACCACAAATTTACACCCTTTTTATCACCCCCAAAAGAAATCCTTCACCCACTTGTAGCCACTCCCCTTATCTCCCCAGCCTTCTCCACCTTGACACACCCCCTAGCCCTTTGTCTCCATAGCTTTCACATAAATGAGATTATATAATATGTGGTCTTTTTGTATCTGGCTTCTTTAACTTAGCATAACTTTTTCAAAGTACCTTTGTGTTGTAGCTTATATCAGTAAGTCACTCCTTTTTGTGGCCAAATAATATTCCATTTGTGGATCACTACATGTTTATCCTTTTCTTCAGTTGATGTACATTTGTGTTGTTTCCACTTTGGGCTCTTAGGAGTAATGCTACTTTGAACATATATGTACAGGTTTTTCTGTGAATATAATGTTTTAATTTTGGATATATACCTGGAAATGAATTGTTGGGTGTCATATTGTAACTGTGTTTGACTTTTTGAGAACTGCCAGTTTTTGCAAAGTTGGTTACACCATTTTCTATTTCTACCAACACTGTATAAAAAGGTTTCAATTTCACTGCATTTTTGCCAGCATTTGTTATTGTCTGTTTTTATTATAGTGTCCTAGTGACTTTGAAATTGTATCACACTGAGATTTTAATTTTCCTTTCCCTGGTGCCTGTTACTGTTGAGCAGTTTTTAAATTTCCTTTTTTTTTGTTTTGTTTTGTTTTGTTTTGTTTTGGAGTGTGTGTGTGTGTGTGTGTGTGTGTGTGTGTGTGTTTGGTACTAGGAATTAAACCTGGAGGTGCTTAACCACTGAACCACATCCCCAGCACCCACTTGCCTTTTTTTTGTTTTTATTTTGAGACAGGGTCTCACTAGGTTGCTTAGGGCCTCACTGAGTTGTTGAGGCTGGCTTTGATCTTGCAGCCCTCCTACCTTAGCACCCTGAGATGCTGGGATTACAGGTGTGTGCCACCATGCTCAGCACCAGCCCTTTTTATTTTTTTATTTTGAGACAAGTATCTTACTTAAGACATTGCTAAATTGCTAAATCTGGCTTTGAACTTGGAATCTTCTTGTCTAGCCTCCTAAGTTAATTTTTATATATGGTGTGAGGTTAAAGGGACATCTACCTTCATTTTTTCATGTGTAAAGAGTATTTTTGGTTTTAAAACTTGATTTGGATGTTAGCCAGAGATTTTCTGATCAGTTATCAGTAAAACAGAGCACTCTTACTAAATGCCTTAACATCATTGTTTTTCAGGTTGATAGATTATTTTGTCTACAAATTTCAGTGATAAAAAACTGAAACTGATTAAGTGGCTTTTGTAGACTTCAGAAGTCATTTCAAAATAGAAAACCACCCAATTTTATGTTTAATTGATCTCTTTGCTTCTTTTAGGTGTGTAGTATGCATGTGTGATTTTGAGTCAAGGCAGCTACTTAGAGTCTTACCCTGTAACCACGAGTTCCATGCCAAGTGTGTTGACAAATGGCTTAAGGTAAAATGACAGTATCTAAAAGGAAATAACACTAAATTTTCTGTTTTAGTGATTATAGGTTCATTAGATAAGTCTGTGGTTTAGTGGAGGATGGGTATAGGAAATAAAATTGAAATACAACTTTGAGAGTATTCTCTCTTCAGATGAAGAGAAAAGGCCAGTGAAACTCAGGGGTTCGGGGATATARCTCGGTGGTAGAACATGAATGAGGCCCTGGGTTCCATTCCCAGCACAGGGAGGATGGGGTTGCTATGGTGATCAACATGGGAGTGATTATACAAAACCTAAAAACTGGCTATCTGCCCTTGATAATCAGCTTGTCCTGATCTTCTGATAGTATATAAGGATAAGACCTGAACTTGTTAGGCCAGAGTTTCCTCTTAGTTTAGAAGGGTGCCTCACTAGAGCTCCCTTTACTTTTAAGTTAGTTATTAAATATATCTAAACTGGTGCTGGATAATTTTGTTTATGTATTTAAACAGACATATTAAAAAATCATTTATGGCAAGAAGCTGAGGCAGAAGGACGGCAAGTTCAAGGCCAGCCTGGGCAACTTAGCGAGACTCTGTCTCAAAATTAAAAAGGGGATAAGGGTGAGCTGGGGATGGAGCTCAGTCCCCCAGGATTTAAGCCCCAGTGCTACCAAAAAAAAAAAAAAAAAAAAGATCATCCATGGGATAATCAACTCTTTAAGGTTTGTTTTCTTTCTTTTTTGTTTTAAGGCACATGATTACTTTGTGCCTCTTTAAAAGAACAAAGTGTCTAAAACTTGTGTTGGAAGTAAAAATAGTATTATTTGTTTTTAATAAATTTCATTGTATGAATCACAATGCAAACAAGTTTCTCTTTTGTATTTTAGGCAAATCGTACTTGCCCAATTTGCCGAGCTGATGCTTCAGAAGTGCATCGGGATTCAGAATGACCAACCTAAGAGCACAAATTTAGTTTGGGTGTTCCTCATCACATGTATATACGGACTATCCATTGAACTTAATCTGTGTGGCTTCCAGCCCTCCCTTTACCAAAAGGGTCAATGGACCTTTCTTTGCACTGTGTGACTTAATCAACTATAAAAGCTTACAATTAGTCTTCACAATTATGGGATTGTTATACTAACCGTGTGATTGGAACTCCAAAGAATTTTTCTTTAGCTTAATTTTGTGTGTGCACTAACATTCCCTGGTTTTTTGTGTGATCATTCCGAGTGTTGCTGCAAGATTACAGTGGACGTGATCTTTTAGCATGTGCTTTTATAAAAAGTGGTAGCTCCAGATGATATAGCAATCTACCTTATATAGAGCCTTCAGAAACTGTGAGTGGAAATGAATGCAGCGTATGACTGTTGATAAATGTTTTATCTGTGTGTGTGAGAGAGTGTGCAACTACTTGTGAGAGGGCATGGTAGCTAACGTGTGTATGAGATCCTATATACCAGCATGTACCAAGAATGTGTGTGTAGTTTTAATTATGCTGCAATGTATAATCTGGTGTGTTATTTAAACAGCACTAGTACTGTACACTGGTTTCTCCCCTTGTGTTTGCTGTTGCACACTGGTTGCTAAGGGTGCATCAATTATAAGCATTGAATACTCCATCCCTTCCTCCTAATGAATGGAATGAGAAAAGCCTTCTTCCTTTGCTTCAGGCAGCTGTCACCTTCTCTTCATTGGTGGTCCTAAGTGGGTCACTTAAGAAAAAAAGTGTAACAGATTCTCACTCCATGAACCTGAGTTTTGATTCTGTTGTGGAAAAGAAATTTTTAAATCTCCAACTTGCTGTTTCCAAAAAGAAGGTGCAATATCATACATCATCTGTTAGCAATATTAGCATTTCAATCAATGATTTGAATGTTGATAACTTTTTTCTTTTACAATTTCAGTAAGCTTCTTACAGAAAGTACCTGTGATGATTTTTTAAATTTTTTCTTTGTATAGGTGTGTGTGTGTGGGTGTGTGTGTGTGTGTGTGTTTAGATTTATAGTCCTTTCTGAAGATATATGAGTAATATATTTTTAAGAATACCACTGGTCCCATGAAGTCTTGCCTCTTTGACTTCCACCAGAACAAAATCTGTTAATACAGCTTGATTTCCGATGTGTAAAACTTTGTTCAGGCTCCCATAGGCAACTAAATTATTTCAAGAAAACTGTTTTTCTGTTCATATTAATTCACTTGCCAAGCTCCAATTCTGAAAGTTGTCTTAGTTCTTTCCTCAGTAAATGTGCTTCTTTTTGAAGCCCTTGTTTCAGGATGGATCAAGTGCTTTGACAGCTTGTGTTCCTTAGACCTGATTTGCTTTGATATCTTGCCACTCTTTTAATTTTTGTTTGAATAAGAAAAAGCTTAATACAACAGATGTCCAGAATACTTGCAGTATAAATGAAGATTTGATTTTTGTATAAAATAATGCTGTCAAACAGGAATTGACCCTCATTGAGTTGATCTGAAATAATACATAGCTGTATTTTTTTAATAGGTTCATTGAGCGAAATTCAGATTGTTTAAAGTCATTTTCCCAGCAACATTTAGATTCCTTTCTCATTCTTTTAGTGTATTCAGCATTGTCTGCCTCCTCCTGCAGTTGATGTCATTGCTTTGTTTGCAGTAGCACATGCTGCATTATTCTAGTCGGGACTGTGAGAACTTGTTGCCAGCCTCACTCAGCTCTCAGTTGGCTCTGAGTCAGTTTTGTACTCAGACAGTGTTAATTACTTGTTACTGCCATGCTGCTTGCCCTCCCTTGAAATCTATAAGCTCATCACAGCCTAGAGTTCTGTAAAGTCAATTCACACAGAAGCACAATTTTGTCCTCTTCCAGACACTGTTGCCTCTATCTAGTCATACAAATAGGATTTTGCATACTTTGCCCCTAGATTTGTCAGTGCATCAGAAATACATCTCAACAGTGGTAAAATGCACATGTTACTGTTAAATCATTAGGATAATTCCCTTCCTGTTCCTGAAGAGTAAAAAGTATGTTAAAGACCAAAATTATTGGCATATAATAATCAGCTACATACAAATCACGTATAGTTTTATCTTTATTTTTTTTAATTAAAAAAATCATGTTTAAAATGGCAAAAACCCATCTTATAGACTTCTTTTATATAGCTACAAAAATTTATATCTGTACAGATCTAACATAACACTACTACACTCAGTATTCATTTTACTGAAGCATGCAAGTTAAAGCACTTTTTCTAATTTATATAGAGATACCTAATTAACAAGGCACATTATACTAATGACTTCAGGAGAAGTAGCTTTTTCTCCCCTTCCTCTGACTATAAATTCCTGTTGTAATGTCCCTTTTCTAGTAAATTTTTGAGAGGCAGTTGGCAATTTAGGAGGCAGCAGGGTCTGAATTTAATTGTTGCACTGTTGTGGCTGATCTCTTGGGGAATGCCTTGTCTTTGCATGGAGCTCTTAGAGATGTGTCCAGACTTGCTTACCAAGTGGTTAGTGCATATTAGGAGCACACGTGTGTGTGTTCTGACCAGCTCAGACTAGCCACAGTGAGCAACTCTGTGTCTAGCATATGAGAAAGAACAGTTGATTTCTTGCCCAGCTGTTACCACTGGTGATGTGCCAGATTGCAGGCAGATGTTGGTTTGTTGCCTTTATCCTCTTTCCTCCTAAAACAACATTGGCTTTACCATCTTAACTCAGCTGTGGGTTTTTTTTTTTTTTTTTTTTTTTTTTTTTGTGTGTGGGTTTTGGTTTATTTGTTTTTTTGGTATGAATTGTCATGTTTGGTATTGTTTTTAATCCCCACCCCCCCAAAAAAAAAATTCAAGGCCTCCATGGATCAAGATCTCATATTAAGGATTTTTTTGTCCTGGGGAAAAAAAAATTTTTTTAACCAAAATCTGGAAAATGTGAAAGTATATTTAGATTTTATATACTCTCTGAAATGTGATTTAAGATTCTTAAGTTTGGGCCTCTTGTAATAATTTTGAATGAGATCTACCAACTCACTTGTGAGTATATTTTTCACAGATATCTTTAGGCCTTCATTAGAAAGCTATTTTCCCCCTGTTGGTTACCTCATTTTGCTATTGTTTCAGATTATGAAAGCTACAGGGGTGTCTGTTGGAATCATTTGCTGAGTCATTTCCTCAAATCATATTCCATTGTATCAGTTAACATTATAGTTTTAAATGTACGTATTATAAATATCTGTAACCAAATCATTTGAAGGCTTGATAAATTTTTAACAAAGTTTGTACATTTTTTATGAAAGTTACTAGTAATGCTTTACTAAGTAGTGCAATGAATTTTTATTTTTAATCCCTGTGCCCAATTTTGGAGTTGAGAGGGTTGTTGGTAATAAATGTATGATGTACACTTAAAACATTTGTTGTTTCTTGTTACTCTGAAAGGGGAGGGGAAAGTTGGGTATGCAGAGAGAGTGGGTAATAGATGGGATTCCAGCAGATAGAAGTGGGTTGAGCTACTAGCTGCCAGATTTAATTTTTAAACAGTATTCCAGGTGTTTCAGAATTGGTGTAAACTCTTTTTTTTATTATTATATTAGTTACACATGGCAGTACAATGTTGACAATTCATACATTTGAATCAAATGGGGTATAATTTCTCATTTTTCTGATTGTACAGGTTGCAGAATCACATTGGTGTAAACTCTTAGAAACACAAAAAATATCTTGTATTATAATGTATGGTAAATATTTATGTCCTTTAAAAAGCTAAGAAGATAGCAGAAAGTGTAGCCACAGGTATGCTCTGTGCATATTGAACTATAGAAATAGGTAACCATAAGGTGCAAGTGAAAAGATTACAATAGGTAATTGAGCAGCTGTGTCCACATTAGMTACAGTTACTCAGTTACTGTCAACATAAGGGAAGAGCCTTTGCTTGATTTTTTTTTTTTTTCCTCCTTATTTTTGCAACATACTTGGGAAGAGTATTTGTGTCAGGTTTTGAGTGTCTGAAATGCTAAACTTGTGTTCTCTTATGGCAAAGGCGTTTACTACACTCTCTGAATAAGGGAGGGGAGGGCCATATGACTTGAAAACATAGATTATTATGACCTCTTCTTGTGAGAACATTTAAAAGCCAACAGTCTCCTTCTGTCGTGATAATGACAGTCCTGGAAAAGAACTGCCCTAGAAAACCACCAACTCTCAGCACATATTTGGGGACAAAAAATTAGAAGCCTTTAAAATAGGCCTAAGTCTCTAAACTCAGCTACTCAGAAAGCTGAGGCAGAAAGAGCAGATGTTCAAGGCTAGCCTAAGCAACCTGTTAAGACCCTGTTTCAAAAGGTCTGGGGATGTAGCTCAGTGCACCCTGGTATGAAAAAATAACATTAACTATGGACATCATGATTTCATTCTTGCCAACTCATTTCTCCCTTTTACAAGTCTTTAAATTTTGCTCTAAAAGTAGATTTTGATAATATTAAGCCACAAGCATTCCATATATGCTGCTAAGCATTTTTGGCTACAATTATTAAATAGATCACAAACCACTGTTTATACTAAGGGATAATTTTTTTATAATATTGTTTTACATTTATGATCCTAGGTATTAATCCCAAAAAGGGTCTTTTGCATTCTTGCAGGCTTAGGGTATTGTGCAATAGTGAACACATAATGGCTCAAGTGGGTCAGTGTACCATTTGTTTCTGATCCACTGAATAGAACCTCAGTTTATATTTGGTGGCCAGACTAACTGAATGGGAACTGTGACAGACATCCATTTCTTTGGTATCCCCAAATCTCAAAAAGACCCGACATAAATAAATCTAACAACCTATCTGTCTAAAAGGTTTAGAATAAGATGGAAAAGGGGGACCTTTCTTGAGTACATGGATAAAAGCATTATCGTGGTCTAAAGACTGCTGAACTGATACTGATGTTGTGTTGAAGACAAGGCACACATCAAAACTGCTGTCAGTTCTAAATAATGGAGCAAGTTCAAAGACAAATTCTAATGCAGAACTCCTAGATTGAATTTTGTACCGGCAGTGTAAAAAACTATAAAGGACATTATTGAGTCCCAACAGACAATTGTAATAGACCATCAGTGTGATCCAAAGTATTAATCTTACTGTAGTTCTGCAAAAGAATATTCTTAGGAAATACATTACTGAAGTATTAAGGGTAAAAGGCCTGGATACATACAACTTACTTTCCAAAAGCTCAGAAAAAAGTTATGTGTATGTGGAGAGAGAACACAAAAATGATAAAGCAAATGGAGTGAAAAATCAGTAGAGGTAGGTGATTCTGAGCAAACAGCTTATAAGSATTTTCTGTTATTTACATTCTTGCAACTTTGTAAGATTGAGTTTATTTCCAAAATTTGATGTTATAACTACAAAAGAGTTCAAAAAATATGTGGGATGGGGATATGGCTCAGTTAAGTACTCCAGGGTTTAATCTCTAGTGCCAAAAATAACAATAAGTAGTGGTTAGGGATATGACTAAGTGGTTAAGTGCCCTTGGATTCAATTTCCAGCACCAACAAACCAACCAACCACAGATTGCCCAGTTAGAAAACAGGCAAAAGATATTTCTCAAAAGAAGATAACAAAAAGCACATACATATTGTCACTATTTTAGTCAGATTTTTGTCACTGACCAAAACACCTGACATGAACAACTTGGAGGAGGAAAGTTTTATTTTGGTTCATGGTTTCAGATTCAGTCCATGGTCAGCCAACTCCCTTGCTCTGGGCCCAAGATGAGGCAGAAGAGTACTAAGGGATAAAATTCTTTTGAATGTGATCAAGCCACATTCAAAACGCATTTCAGTTTTCTTGTGCACTTCAGACTAACGAATCGGATAGATAATGATGTCTGATGACCTGACTAGCCACATTAATCTAAAAGTTTTTAGCCACATTAATCCATTGTGTACCAAGTTTTCAGTTCTGCCATATTTCAATGAAATTTACATAGGCGTGTTAAAATAGGTTGGAAATAATAATTCAGAGCCCATATGTTGTGTTACTATTACATAGTTCTGGTTAATAATTATTGATATTGATATATAATTAATGATATATAATTATGTACTATAAGTTTTTAAAAGTGTTATACATCTGAAACAATGGGACAATATGGGTTTAAAAGCAAACAGAAGCTAGACAGGGTGGCATATTTCTGTAATCCCAACACTTGGGAGGCTGAAGAGGATCAAAAAAAGTTTTTTTTAACACGTTGGAATTGAACCCAGTGGCAGTCTTCCAGAGAACACAGAGCTACAATTCTACATTTCCTGCCCTTTTTGTTTTTATTTTGAGACAGGGTCTTTCTTGCCAAGTGTTCCTCCTGTCTAGGCCTCTGTAATCACTGGGATTACAGACATACAACATCATGCATAGTGAGGATTACAAATTTGAGGCCAGCCTAGGTAATTTAATGAGACCCTGCCTCAAAAAAAAGTGTTCAGTAGCTGGGTATAGTAGCACATGCCTGTAATCCCAGTGGCTCAGGAGGCTAAGGCAAAAGGATCATGAATTCAAAGCCAGCCTCAGCAATTTAGCAAGGATGTGGCTCAGTGGTTAAGCAACCATGGGTTTAATCCCTGGTACCAAAAAAAAAAAAAAGTTCAGTGGTAGAATGCTTGTCAAGTATGTATTGGTCTTCGGTTCAATTACCAGTATCACAGGCACAAAAGTAAAAACAGTTGAAATTGTTTTTAATTTTATTTTATTCAATCTAACAGAAAACATTTTGATATATAACCAGAGATAATCCGGGTTTGCTTGCTTGCTTGCTTGTTTATTTTTGTGGTGCTGGGGATTGAACCTAGGGCCTTGTGCATGCAAGGCAAGCACTCTACCAACTGAGCTATATCCACCCCAAGATTTCTTAATTTTATCATTACATGTCTTAAACTACAGTATGACTAAAAATCATTTTACTTCATATAACTGAGTATAATTTGTTGTCATGATATATACTTAAAAAGCAGACTCAAATTGGGCACCATGGCACACCCCTGTAATCCCAGCRGTTCAGGAGCCTGAGGCAGAAGGATCACAAGTTCAAAGCTAGCCTCAGCAACTTAGTGAGGCACTAAGCAACTCAATGAGACCCATCTCTAATGAAAAAGGGCTGGTGATGTGGCTCAGAGGTTAAGTATCTCTAGGTTCAATCTCCAATACCAAAAAAGAAAAAGAAAAGATTGCTTCTCTAGATAAAATTCAAAGAGGGCTGGGGATGTGGCTCAAGTGGTAGCGAGCTCACCTGGCATGCGTGCGGCCCGGGTTCGATCCTCAGCACCACATACAAAGATGTTGTGTCCGCCGATAACTAAAAAATAAATATTAAAAATTCTCTCCCTCTCTCTCTCTCTCTCACTCTTTAAAAAAAAAAATTCAAAGAGTGTTAATAATGTTTGTCAGTAGATTCCAAAAGTTATATATGCTTTGCTTAACACCTTTGACATTCACAGCTTTTTAAAATAATTTGGTGGATGGGGTCCCGGCTACTCTGGACGCTAAGGTAGGAGAATCACAAGTTCAGGGCCAGACTGGGCAATTTAGCAAGACCCTGTCTGTAAATTTTTAAAAAATTAAAAGGGGTAGGGATGAAGCTTCTCTAGATTCAATCCCTAGAACCACAATAATAATAATGTTAATTTAGCAATCAAAGTTTGGCATTCTGAAGAATTGCAGGTAGGAAAATTTCAACCCTCTTTGAGCTGATGGAGTGGATTCCTATTGAGAT